GTTCCCATTGAGTGCCAAAACATAAAACAGGTCTTGGACCTTTAATACCGAGGGTACGAAAGAAACCAAAATTGCGCGCATTATACCTATACATCAAATAAAAACTAAAATTACACAATTTGGATAAGTTTTGACTATTTAATAACCGGTTTAATTTAGCTAAAATGAACACAATAACAACGATAAGCACACACAATCCAATTGTAAACATATTTGAAAATCGTAAATGTTATCAATATTTTTGAAATCTTAAAGGAACAAAATAGCAATATGGAACATGTATTTTATAATAAAAATTTTATTATTTTAAAATTATAATATAATATGAACAAGTCTATACTATAGACTCTAATGTCAATTCATTGTTCAATTCATGTACTGTATTGCAAAAATAGTGCTGACTTTGACGCGGGAATCCGGATGCAACCGGTTATGATGACACAACACTCTATACCATTCATTCTCATAGTATAACACAGGGTGTCATTTGCCTATGTTTTAACATTAGTAAATGACACTATTTGTCACTTTTGAGACTCAATGCTCTATACTCTATACCTTAGGCGCACAGATATGGTTCCAGAAACCAACTAGTGATGTATGCATTTGATATTTAAGCTGAGTATACACAACACTAGTATTTTAAAGTTTATAGTATACATTAAACATTAAAGTAGCATTTAAGTACATGCAAATGAATAATAATTAGTTTTTCATATATAACTATTACTTTCTCAAATGTTTAGAAATCTCTTACGAGTTAGTATTTTAATCATTTAAATATTATTTTGTTGTTTAATAAATAAAAATGTTTTCAATACAAATCTTAGTCACATTTAAATCAGAAAATACTAATGTTTTGAATAGTTTAAAATTTTAATATTATTATAAAACACTATTTTGGGAATTTTTAAAATTTTGGACGTCTATGGTCTAGCTGTTGCCTAAGCTTGGTGAGATGTTGTAGACCGTAGACCGGGCGAGGAGATCGAGTGCCGAAGTTTTAAACAATGTCCAGATCATTTTGCCTGTAACTCAACAACACGCCTTTGTTTCGATGTTAAGGATTGTTCCCGTTACCCTGCTCTGCCCATTGTTGACCGTGGTCAACCGGCTAGTTAACAATTATTGCGTGACCATGGTGTATAAATTGATAAAACCTACTGCATTATTAATTTAATAATTAAAAGTTATTTGAAGATTTTTGAGAAATGCATTTTTAAATTAACAAAATATACGTGCATGACGCCAAATTAATTTCACATTAATAACTCAAACCATATGCGATATAAAGCAAACCACAATTGAGTAAAACGTAACATATTTTCATTTTGCAGACAACTGTTATTGAGAACACTGGCAGTGAACAGTTTTAAAAAAGTAAAAATGAAATAATTTCACACTCTGATTATATGCGAGGCTATTATGCTGTCCACGAATTGTGTGACCGATACTATAGCTAACCTTGGTAAACTTGGTAAAAAGCTTGTGACGGTAAAAGAGCTTATACGTCCCGATGACATATGTTATATAATACAATAATCAGTACTATAATAACAAGTGACATTAAAATTAATAAATGAAAATAATAATCAAATGCAAACATTTTATCATTTGATACCATTAAATCCATATCAGGGTAACTTATCTTTAAATAATTGTTCACGAATTCACAGACATATTCAGCCGACACATTCTCATACCTGGAAATATTATCATATTTAGTAATATTATTAAAAATACTTTCACCACCATTATAGCCCTGATATTTATAAAATCTGATATAATCGACAATAAGTGTGGGGCACCTCCACTCCCACGGGGCACCTTCATGTCTATGGTCTCCCGGTGACCCCCACTCAGAGTCTCGTCCACAATGAGACCAATGCCTATGCGATAGAGTGGCTTAAATGTACCCTGTTTAACATAATAATTATAACCGTTAAATGAAAACTTTATTTTAAAACGCTGAGTCTATTGTGAATGTGTTGAACGTGTCGAGTTTAGCCCTGGATAGATACTCCATTGTCGAGTAGCTACTATGGTCAAATACGCTCGAGTAGATTAGATTCTCATAATTAACGGTCGAAATGCACTCTATGTTAGGGTTGACCGGTAGACTATCATTATATGATAACAAAAATATAGCCGACTTTAGGGCCTGTCCTCCGGGTATAGCGATTCTGGTGTCGATTCTGCCATAACTGAACGACTTATTGCTCAGAATCGTGGCGGACGTGAAGTTGCGGTTCTGGTGCCGCTCAGGGATGGCAGTGATGGCCAACGCACCCGACACTAGGCGTATATTTTTAGGATCATCCGTATTGTAACTGATTTGATACTTAAATAGATCTACATTTAAAGCAATGTCAAAGGGTTTAAAGTTATTTATACGTTTTATTAGCATTAAATGCATTCATACCTCTACTTTTACTATTTATAATTAGCCAGTTATTATCATCCAGCTCATCACCATCAAATTCTTCATTCCAGTTTAGACTCCATTCAGGTTTGCATAATCTCACAAATAATAACACCACAAATAAACCATTATAAATCATGTTTAATAATCACATTTTTAATACAAGAACTATTTCAGCAAATTTTAAAACAAAATATTTTGCAATATACTCCATAAACACATATACAAATTTATACCGATCAAAACAGGAATCAGTGTCTATTTATGGTATAGTTACTTATCCTGTAAATAACACCAAATATAAACTGAGAACTATAAAGTACAGTACCGTATTTATATTATAATTGAATAGATAATATCAATTCAAAAACAGACACTACTCTTTTTATGATTTACGTTCATAAGTTTACCATAAAAGCACAAACATAGCTGAATGAAAAAATAATTCACACATTTTTAACCTTAAAACTAATTAATAATTTCGTAGAATTATAGTGATTGTATCAACCAGAGCAACAAAGTTGTTTTAAATGTTTATTATTTTATGTCAAATATTTTTAATTCATTATACCCTGTGTCAGGGACATCTCATATTTAGAGATGAATTCAATGGTACTTCACTAGATACTAATAAGTGGCTTATACAGTATGGAGAAGATAGTTGCACAGGTCAGTATTATATATTAAAAATAAAAGTAAATTAAGTGCATTATAATAAAGTTTATATATTATGTTATATTCTAGAGGAAAATGATCTTGGTTGTTTCTCGAATAGTCCAGAAAACATCCAAATAAAAAATGGAAATCTGTCTCTTATAGCTGTCCGCGGGCACTTGTACTCCAAGAACTACACCACCGCTCAGATCTTATCTAAATCCCTGTTCACATACGGAAAGTTTGAGATAAAGGCTTCATTACCCCGTGGCTGTCCACTCATGTCGCACATACTTCTTATGAGTAACAATGGTTTTATTAATATTATGGGTGACATGCAGACTGGTTATAGTTACCATGGAGTAAGGTATTTTATAAATGGCAAAAATCATTATAATGGACGTCAGGTATTGGGGAAAAATGAATTTCAAGTGTATGGACTCGAGTGGAGTAAATCGAGTCTCAAATTTCTAATTGATGGTCAACTTATCGAGGAATATCCCACCGAAACATTCAACGATTATTACAAACACTATAAATATGAACTCCTTCATGATCAATTTAGATTAGTTATCAGACTTCAAGTTTTTAACTATAGTAGTCTTAATGATGGCATTTTCTGTGATGATCTGGATGCAAATTGGCTCGACCCGGTATTCAAAGTAGAATATGTCAGGGTATATGATTTGAATTCCGACATCGATTCAGATTTGAAACCAGATTTGAAACCAAATGTTTCAAACATTGATAGGAAAACAGGTTCCGATTATTTATCCCTTATACAGTATAATGTATATATTATATTCATATGAATATTAACCCCTTTAGTAAAAACTATTGCAGAAAAGCCAAGTACAAACACAATTAGTGTTATGGTATTAATAGTAGTGGTGATAATCAGTTTGGTTTTGGTGTTGACATTAGTATCCGGCTTAATATTCATGTATTGCAAACATAAGAGACTGAAACGGATTAACCGAGAGATGGTGTCCGATGTTAACGACGACAATCGTATGGATGACTACGAAGACTATAATATTGATCATAAATACGAAGAACCATACGATACGATTGGTCATACAAATAGTGTGGACCCGGATGGCGCCCCAATTTATCTGGAAATAACCAATACAACTCATATCTAATGATATTTGTGCTTGCTACAATTTATGTGTTAGAAATGATTATTGTTTAAATAGTGTCTGTTGTTTATCGCAAATATGAATACAGTAATGCTTAATTTAAATTTGTTAAATTGGATCGACTATTAGACATCAATAATTATAATTCATTCATAAAAGTTTTTAATTTATTAGATTTTAAACTCGAAGCTTGTAACAATTTGAACTCCTTTGTTTTGAATGTTAGAAAACTTTAAATTTTTAATTCTTTTAAATTTAAAATATTATAATTTATATAATTATTAGACCCCTCACTGAAAATGAGACTGCGTTTGGTAACCAGGGTCTCTAAATATTAGTAAATTTAATTCAATTTAAAAGTAATTAGCATAATTCAATTAATATCATAAGTTATATCTATAATTGCAACTCTGAATTGCATACTCATAGTTCTTAATTTTTATTTAAGGTTTAATGACATTTATTTTAGAGGCAACTACAGTATTATAGATTAGATTTTACTTTTATAGGCTATCAATTAAAGCATTTAATTATGTTATTAAAGTAAATATTTGATATACCGTATTTTAAACATACATTCACTTCAGTCATTGTATGACATAATTGTGTCTATCTTTCTCTCTCACTATCTATTATTTCGTGAATTCATTTATACAACACTTTTAATTACATTTTCATTTCAAATTAGTAAAACTATATTACTTAAATGACTTAGTTTATCAAATAATTCAACAATTATGAAATATAAATGTTAACCCAATTGATCAATGTTGTATTAATTGCTTAATTTTTGTGCTGAGGTTTTTTTAAAGTTATGTCATATATGGAATTAAAAGGTACTAGTTAATACATGTAATATAGGAAAATGTTATTATGTTGTCATAAAGCAAATACTTACAAAATAATGCTATAATTATGAATGAAATAAATGGAGACAGGTAGAGGTAAGGTATGAAATTATAATTTCTGATCATCACAAAATTAATTAGTTAATATTAATAACCAACTTTCAATCTGTTCTAGTTAGAAATTTTTCGAGAAAACATGAAAAATAAAATTTTAATATAATTTATCACAAATGTATACCGTATTTACCAAATTAATTAATTATTAAAAATCATACCTAATATAATATTAGTAATAATCAATTATTATCATAATTTACGTAATTTATTAATTGTACACCGGTAACTTTTAAACTTTTAATTAATTATTTATTTAATAATTTTCTTAACATTAGATCTTAAATCACAAAAATATATAAAAATCATAAAAAACTTTTTACTCGTATTTCTATACATTGTCTAAAAATGAAACCAAAGATTAATTGTAATATAAAACGCAAACAAGTAATTGAAATAAATACAAATTAGATACTTAACTACTGTTCCCCGCATACCCTTCCCATACAACTCATGATTAGTGATGTTTTTCCAATGAAATTAAATTATATTATAAAAGAATCTCTAATTTATTGTTAAATTATTTATATTATAAAAATTATTACCAAAAAATTATATAATATATTAAATTAGTATTAATTATACAAAATACCATTAATTGTTTACTAATAAAATCTATACAAATGTAATGAAATCTAACTTTTTTGTAATCAAAAGTGATGTGACTTTGCGAGTGATATCTAACTCTAATTGCGTTCAAGTGTTAAGTATTTCTCAATAATAATAATAATTATCTCATGAATTAATTAATGTGTTATAAAAATAGTAATAAATTATAAATAGTTTTCTTATAAGGGATAAATAATCGGAGTCTGTTTTCTTATCATTTGATTTCAAATCATATACCCTGACGTATTCTACTTTGAATACCGGGTCGAGCCAATTTGCATCCAGATCATCGCAGAAAATGCCATCAGTAAGACTACTATAGTTATAAACTTGAAGTCTAATAACTAATCTAAATTGATCATGAAGGAGTTCTTGATTATAGTGTTTGTAATAATCGTTGAATGTTTCGGTGGGATATTCCTGGATAATTTGATCATCAATTAGAAACTTTATACTCGATTTACTCCACTCGAGTCCATACACTTGAAATTCATTTTTCCCCAATACCTCACGTAAATTATGATGATATTTGCCATTTATAACATAATTTACTCCATGGTATCTATAACCAGTCTGCATGTCACCCATAATATTAATAAAACCATTGTTACTCATAAGAAGTATGTGCGACATGAGTGGGCATCCACGGGGTAATAAAGCCTTTATCTCAAACTTTCCGTATGTGAACAGGTATTTAGATATGATCTGAGCGGTGGTGTAGTTCTTGGAGTACAAGTGCCGGCGGACAGCTATAAGAGACAGATTTCCATTGTTTATTTGGATGTTTTCTGAACTATTCGAGAAACAACCAAGATCAAGTGGCTCTAGAATATAACATAATATATAAACTTTATTATAATGCACTGAATTTACTTTTATTTTTAATATATAATACTGACCTGTGCAACTATCTTCTCCATACTCTATAAGCCACTTATTCGTATCCAGTGAAGTACCATTGAATTCATCTCTAAATATGAAATGTCCCTGACACTGGGTATAAAGAATTACAAATATTTGACATAAAATAATAAACATTTTAAACCACTTTGTTGCTCTCGTTGATACAATCACTATAATTCTACGAAATTATTAATTATTTTTAAGGTTAAAAATGTGTGAATTATTTTTTCATTCAGCTATTTTTGTGCTTATATGGTAAACTTATTAACGTAAATCATAAAAAAGTGGTGTCTGTTTTTGAATTGATATTATCTATTGAATTATAATATAAGTACTTTATGGTTTTCAGTTTATATTTGGTGTGGTGTTATTTACAGGATAAGTAACTATACCATAAATAGACACTGATTCCTGTTTTGATCGGTATAAATTTTTATATGCTTTTATGGAGTATATTGCAAAACATTTGGTTTCAAAATTTGCTGAAATAATTATTGTATTTAAAATGTGATTATTAAACATGATTTATAATGGTTTATTTGTGTTGTTACTATTTGTGAAATTATGCAAACCTGAATGGAGTCTAAACTGGACTGAAGAATTTGATGGTGATAAATTGGATGATAATAACTGGCTAATTATAAATAGTTTAAGTAGAGGTATGAATGCATTGAATGTTAATAAAACATAGAAATAACTTTAAACCCTTTGACATTGCTTTAAATGTAGATCTATTTAAGTATCAAATCAGTTACAATACGGATGATCCTAAAAATATACGCCTAGTGTCGGGTGCGTTGGCCATCACTGCCATCCCTGAGCGGCTCCGGAACCGCAACTTCACGTCCGCCACGATTCTGAGCAAAGAGTTCTTCAGTTATGGCAAAATCGACGCCAGAATCGCTATACCCGGAGAACAGGCCCTAAAGTCGGCCATATTTTTGTTGCCATACGATTATAGACTAGTGGCCAACCCTAACATAGAGTGCATTTCGACCGTTAATTTTGAGAATCTAATCTACTCGAGCGTACTTGTCCATGGTAGCCACTCGCCAATGGGGTATTTACCCAAGACTAAACTCGACACGTTCAACACATTCTCAATCGACTATCAGCGTTTTAAAATAAAGTTTTCATTTAACGGTCATAATTATTATGTTAAAAAGGGTACATTTAAGCCACGCTATCGCATAGGCATTGGTCTTATTGTGGACGAGACTCTGAGTGGGGGTCACCAGGAGACCATAGATATGAAGGCTAGGGAGTGGATGTGCCCCATACTTATTGTCGATTATATCAGATTTTATAAATATCAGAGCTATAATGGTGGTGAAAATATTTTTAATAATAGTAATAAATATGATAATATTTCCAGGTATGAGAATGTGTCAGCTGAATATGTCTGTGAATTTGGGAAAAATTATTCAAATATAAGTTACCCTGATATGGGTTTTATGGAATCAAATGATAAAACGTTTACATTTGATTATTATTTTCATTTATTAATTTTAATGTCAATTGTTATTATAGTACTGATTATTGTACTAATATTTGTTACATATAAAAAGTGTGCCAAAAGTAATGTCATAATAAATGTTTCAAATTGTGAGGAATTGAATGACAAGAATCTGAAAGTAAATTCTGTTTATTCAAGTCATTCCTCAAATGTCTATGAATTTGATAATAGATATGAAGAGATTGTATATGAAAACAAAGAAAACGAATTGTATTATTTGAGCCCTAATTACGGCATAATTAGAAATGTAGAGAAAACTTGAAATTACAATAAAATATTCATTTACTTAATTAATGTGTTATTGATTATGAGTTGTATTTTATAGTACTGATTATAGTATTAATATTTGTTATATATAAAAAGTGTGTCAAAAGTAATGTCATAATAAATGTCTCAAATTGTGAGGAATTGAATGACAAGAATCTGAAAGTAAATTCTGTTTATTCAAGTCATTCCTCAAATGTCTATGAATTTGATAATAGATATGAAGAGATTGTATTTGAAAACAAAGAAAACGAATTGTATTATTTGAGCCCTAATTACGGCATAATTAGAAATGTAGAGAAAACTTGAAATTACAATAAAATATTCATTTACTTAATTAATGTGTTATTGATTATGAGTTGTATTCACAAAAAACAGCATTTACGCAAATCACTAATTAGTAAAACATGATACACTACACACTTTTATAATTATTTGTCATTAAAACAATAGATAATTAGCAAAATTTCATATATAATTGTAGAAATGGTTTTTCGTTTTGTTATTAATTTTTGTTGCATTTTTTATATCAAATAAATTTTATTCTGCAAAATAAATAATTTCAAAATTTAAATTAAATATAATAAATAAAATTAAAACAACAGTTTAGGCTAAAAATATACGCTTGGAAATCAATATTAGTTTAAGATAGTTGTGAATGGATTTGCGAAAAACAAGTTCAATCCATAGTTGCCTTACATTTGACTCTTGAATATCACGAAAACCCTTTTTGGATGAAAAAAGTAAAGTCAATGCAATCTGACTGCGCTTTTCTAGACTCGCATCCAGTCTCTCCCCTTCAGCCCTCACATACATACACACAGTCTGACTACCAGTGCGATGGGTTAGTGTGCCGTCTCTTCTCATTTAGTTAGTCATCAATAAAAGTTAGAAATAGAGGCTTAACTGTTGGCAAAAGCAAAACATACACTCTTTTTTCCAAACACATAGATATAGAGGACATGTATTTTCCATTAGAGTGCAGTCTTTTATACAGTATTTCATCACTAAAAGCAGTTCACGATAACACTATTTTAAGTTTATTTTTGGCATTAATGTTTGTTATGAAAATATAATGAATGAGTTATTAAACAATAATAACTCAATTAAAACTTTCGTAAAAGTAATGGATAAACATAATGTGGAATTAAAATTTAGGTTATTTTGACATGTTACTGTATATAACTTTTATAATTTAATTTCTTACACAGAATTTAATATTCTGTATTGTTTTAAATGTATAATGTAATATTCTTACTAATATTTAAATATGACTATAATGTAAAATGCATTTTAAAGTCGCAAATCGTGTGATGAATAGCATGGATACAAATAATACAATTCTCCAAAAGTTATTCAAATAGAAAACATATAAACTTATGGCAAAACCTTTTCACTAATCCTACGGTTTTGTGGACAGGAATCGCAGAAAATATATTCAATAGTATTGTGTCTATGCATTACGACATTGACTGATACACTATTAGATGTACAGGGAATGGGAGACAAAAAATATTTCTGGGTTTTGTTGCCAAGCAATCAAAAAATGTTTTTAACAAAACTCCGTACCATATAATGTAGTGTACAGTATATTCACGACACATACAGTATATACTAGTACTATTACAGTATATACTAGTACTATACATGCAATGAGTTTTTTATGGATCACTAATATTATTGGCTTTATATTACATAATAGCATCGCATACCATAAATAGACTGGTATTATTTTGAACTAAATATACTAGTACTGTATAACATATATTTCTATATGTTTTTGATTAAGAATTATGCGATTCTTGTATATATATTCAGCAGCAATTGGTTTGTATTTTAAAATTAGATGCATTCATGAGATTGTTATGTATTTTTACATGAAAAGTAAAATGTAATTCATTTGAGATGTACTCCACTTAAGAGTCATATTAATAATAAATATGTATTGAGAGCCCTAACAAGTCATAAAAGATTTTTATTTATAATACACTAGAGTTGTGTTGAGTATTGTAGTTAAACAGACTATAAATAATTGATTAAATTGTAGTTTTGAGGCAAACGACAGCACCGGTAGCTGTTCTACACATTCCTTGCATTCTTCTCATTATTATATCATTTGTCTGAAATGTGTATAAAAAGTTAAGTAAGGGATGGATAGGGATAGGGAGCAGAAAACGAGTCAATTGTGTTAAACCACTTCAAAGGCATCTTATAATCAATTTTGCTTTTTATACTTCCTGTCCACTCGTTTTGCGCACAAAAATAAAGCAAATTTCTATGTATTTAATTAGAAAACACATATTTTTAGTGTCTATTGTGACAATTCATGACAATTTGAAACACTTGTTGAAATTCAGATATCAAATTGTTAACTAGAATATAGCATTTTTTCATTATAACCTCTGTTTGTCACAAAATTCATTCATAATCATTCAAAATTGTTTATACAAAATAATATATTTTTTGTGTTGTTTAATTGTATTGTCACATTAAGTTCCATGTTACCCAGGTTTTGATAATTTAAATTGAGTCTGATTCAATTCCGTTCCACGTAATGTTGAGTTAATATTTACAGTAGATTAATTTATACAATCAAATATTATTGCTATAATTGTGTTTTAATAGTAACAATTAAACATTATATTCATTAAACTAAATTTTGGAAAGTTATACAATAATAATGTTATGATTTTATTACTATTATTTTTGGGACCTTTGTATATATTGTGGTTAAATGTGAGATTATCATATTTGTAGTCTATTTGTGGTTAACAATTAGTTTGTTTTTATTAATACTGTATAAAATAAATTAATAAAAATAATTATTATATATGTTTGAGACTCTGTGCTAATCATGCCACCTTTCCCAACCTCCATAATCATCCAGTCAATTCCAGACAGTACTATTAAGGAATACAATTTTGATATAAGGTAAAAGACAATATTTATTATATTATTTGTTTTATAGTATAAAATTTATACATTAAAAATTATTTAATTAAGTTTTTCTAAATGAAATATTTTATATTTATATTAGGCTAAACTTTTATTTACTTATTTATACGGTACCTATTTGTACTTTCATTTATTATTAGCATTAAAAATACATTAGATTGCAATAAATGCCGATAAAAGCAATATTTTATTAATTTATAGATATAAAGCAATAAAATTAGTATTAAATCGCATTATACTGTATGATGGATAGGGAAAGGGATTTTGGCAATAATATAATGTCATAATGTGTTGCAGTTTTAGGGGGATATAGAAAGCGATGATTTAAGTGAATCAGTGTTTGGTTTTGTGAACAAATGCTTTGATGTGAAGACAATCTCATTTCGGTTATAACGAGAGCACCGATTCAGACACAAGCGATGAAAACGATTTGCAAATCAAATATAAGACATAAATTAAATTAAAAACAATACAATTATTTATTATTTAAATTAGATTTGCATTCAATTAGGTATTAAGCGAAGTTAGACGTAGAGTGAAGAGAGAGAGAGAGAGAGAGAGAGAGAGAGGTTTTATTTGATAAAAATATTTTGTATACAATGTATGTGGGATATTCATATTACAAATAGTAACTGTAATATTTTATAACATTTTTATTTAATTTTTGCATACACTTTATTTATAAATATCATATTAAATATAATTTGTCTATTAGTTATTTTACTATAATATTTATAAAGTTTTATTTTATTGTCGTCACGACTCACACGTCTCAACCATATAAGGGATGTTTATCCCATAATATATCCTTTCGACCAAATCTTTATCTATAGTCTCTCTCTCTCTCTCTCTCTCTCTCCTAAAGTTTATATTGATTTTTCACTCCACTCTTAACTGAAATGCAATATATTTGATATATTTTCTGGTATTCAAACAATTCTAGTCTAACATCACATAACATCCAAAGCACTGAATATATT